TCTAAAATGAAGTAGTAATAGTGTCTGTCTCAGGGGGTCGGTCAGGAGGATTTGGTGGATACATGGCAAGCCTTTGTGTCATGCCTGGCTTGTACCAAGCATTCAGTGCCTGGGGTTGACTGATGGTGATGCTGGGCAAGGATTTTCCCAGGTAAAGGGGGAGATGGTAGTCACCCCCTTTTACAGTTGCTGTGACTGGCATGGGGATCCTGTACATGTGGAAGTGGGAGAATATTGGTCCCTTGAGACCAGTGGTGGCCTCATGTGGCTGCGTGTATAGCTGTTTCCACAGGTGTGGTGATGTGGTTCTTCTTTGTAAGAAGAAGACTGTAGCTCAATGGGAGAGCATTTGCCTAGTATGTGATTCTGTCCCCAGCACCAAAAAAAGAGAATTCTAAAGTAAGAAATTGAAAAAGAAGGAAGATTGTCCCCTGTTGGTTAAGAGAGCAGAAGAGCCCTATGAAGAAGTTGAGGAACCAACAGACCCTTGCAGCTAAGTCTTCTCTGCTTCTCTGTGTGTTTTTTGAAAGAAATGTTTCATGTTCCTGTTCAGAGTAGTTTTTACAAACAAAAATGAAATAAATATTGTTAAAATAAGTATTAATGGTAATGTAAAAAATACACAGCTTGTATGTGTTTGTTTCTAAAATTAAAATATAGCAGCATAAATGTCTCGTTTGAGCATGGTTTTTGCCTATTGTAGTGTGAAGGAAAAAGACCTATGATTAATCTGCTAAATTAAAGAATACTGATTCTGGTGTTTTTAGTGAGTAGAATAATAAAATTCATTATTGTTTTCTGAAGCAGCTGCAAACTTAAACTAAATGAAAAACGAATATAAATCACTACTCTGCATTATCAAAAATGAATTCCATTCCCATATCTCCGTGAGTTGAGAAGAATCTGCATTATGCCTGTATCAAACTGCAAGACTGGGACTCTTACTCATCTTTGAATTCCCTTTTGTTTTGTGTATGTAGGCGATTGATATCAAATGAATATTTCCTATAAATGTAGGAAAAATAATTTAAATCCCCAGTTAATATGCAATGTAGTGATTGCAGTTAAATCTCATACTTGCAGCAGTATGACAAAAGGCTAATTTCCTTAATTTGCGAAGAGCTCCAACAATTCAAGAAAAGCAAATGTCAGGAAAGGATAAGCATAGGCAGTTAAAAGACAGATTGGCAGTAAACATGAGAAAAGGTATCGACCTCTTTTATGAATAACACATGTACAGGCAAACAGTGAGGCACCATTTTTCTCCTGTCATTTTGGCGAAAGTGAAACAGTTTGTGAGGGAGCAGGGTGCTCTGCCCTGTGGTCTTGGTGAAAGGATAGTCGCTTCCATTTTTTATAGGGTAATTTGGCATTGTCAACTGAAATGAAAAGCCTCACAATTCCTCTGCTAGAAGTTACAAAAGAAGGCCAAGATGCATGAACATATGTCGCCATTCTGTGTTTGTAATAGCTGTTAAAATTGCTTCCTGTTTTTGGTATCAGTTGAAATAGCTATCCATGGAATGCTACGAAGTCGGAAAAAATGAAATCAATGAGTGTGTGCTGCTAGGGAAAGATTTTAAGGCATATTAAATACATTTCTTAACAGCAACGTACAAAAGTTTATGGTGATCCATGTTTAAAATTTCCCTGAAAAGATACAAGAAACTCCTACCCATGATTATCTTTGGGAAGAAGGGCTGTGGCAGGGGGAGTTGTGCTATTTTATTTTTCTGTACTCTGACCTGAAGTTCTGCCATAAGCATATGCGAATTTTAAAGATAAAATTAATTAAAAATTGACCTAATGTAGTTGTAGACACATAGACATTCCAGGCAAGGGCAAAACCAAGACCTGCCTGAAGCCAATGAGTAGCCCACTGAGAAAACTGTCACTTCAGAGGGGTGGAGGATCATGTTTGAACTTGATGTGCCTACAAAAGATTCTGCCCTCTTTTACCCAGGGGCCCCTAGACCTGCCTGAAGAATCTGAGCATGGTTGTAGAACTTGTGATTAATTATCCTTCTGCTCTCTTTAACCTGGTTAATGTGCCTAGAACTGAGATGAACTGTATGGTAGATTCACTCTCCTAGTCTATCAGAAGCTTCTAACTTGAGAGTGTTGCTTGTTAGCAGCTCAAGGGAGAAGTCTTTGAATCTCATTGTCACTGCCTAAAGAAGTGTTAATGCAAGAGAGAGGAAAGTGAAGTGCTTCCTTTCCCATTGTGGGGGAAAAATGGAATCCCTTTTAGGTGTTAATCATAGCATTCATTTTCCTCTGTGCTTTTTCTTTCTTTTAAAAAATATGCTATTTTTAGTATATGTTTGCAATACATATTAATGATATACATCTTGGGGAATTGATACATATACATATTGCATCTGGATCATTTTTGCTCCCCTCTTCCCCTTCCCCCATCCCCTTCTCATCTCCACAGAGTCTACCTCCCTGTTTTCTTTCAAGTGTTCTCTGCTTTTCTTCTGAGAAGATAAAAAGCTACACACAGAAGCGGCCTCACTGTGAGCCTGTTTTCAGTTTTACATTCTACTTCAGAAAGGCTTTTTTCTTCTCCTTTCTCTCCTGGTTTTTGCCCAGGAGTCCACATCTTAAAAAGCTTGAACGCACCTTCCTTCTACCCTTTCATTCCACAAATCACTGCTTATACACCTTGTGTCACAAAAATGAGAAGTAACATCTGACCTCTCCTCCAGGTATCAACTGGGTTGCATTTTTGTAAGTTTTGCTAATTTGAGAAAGAATTGTCTTATGTTAATTTTTGTTTACCGATGAAGCAGTTAAGTATTTTTTTTTTGGTTTAAATTCCGTTTTCCTGTTCTGTTTCTTTTTTAAATCATCTTCGTATTCATTGCCAATTTTTCAGTTGTCATATTTGGGTTTTTTTTTTGGTACCAGGGATTGAACTCAGGTCCTTGTGCTTGGAAGGCCGGCACGATGCCACTGAGCTAAATCCCTAGCCCTCATATTTGGTTTTTATTAATTTATGAGTTTATATTTCTCTCTGTATTTTATAAAGTATTTTTCTTTTTTCTTTTTTTTTTTGAGACAGGGTCTCATTATGTAGTGCAGTTGGGGCTGTCCTTGAACTCACTATTTAGCCCAGGCTGGCCTCGAACTTGTGCCTTCAATCTCTCCCCACCACTTGATACTGAGGATTGAACTTGGGGCCTTGGCACGGAGTTACATCCCCAATCCCTTTTTTTGAAACAGGGTCTGGTTAAGTTGTCCAGGCTGGGCATGAATTTGATCTTCTTCCTTTAGCTCCCAGAGTGCTGGGATGACAGGCATGTACCACCATGTCTGGCTTGTTTTCTCTTTTTTTGGCAAAGAGGATTTTTTTTTTTTCCAAAGAGGATTTTTAAAAGAGGCATAGAGGGATTTATTAGAATTTGGGGGGGGGGGTTGGTACCGGGGATCAAACTTATGACCTCGCGCTGTTGAGGCAGGTGGCGGAACCACTGAGCTATATCCCCGGCCCTAGAGAGAATTTTAAAAGTACACACTCAGAGAGTGTACAGGGCCTCCAGAGGAAGAGAGGCACCTTGTGGCCTTGAGCTGGGTGTATTTATGGGGACTTGGGGTGTCTCTAAGATGGGTTATCTAGGATATGTATTCTAGTAGGGCTTTAAAAAAAGATACACAGAAGTTTTAATTCTTCTGTAGTTAAACCCTCATATCTGTCTTCTGATACTTAGAAATACCTTCTCTATAGGTTATTTTGGGTGTGCTCTACTTCTACCAGAATTAGAAGGGCTGTAACACTTATATTTTATTTATATTTTATTCAGATTCCCTAAGAACATCTATTTTAATACTGTTTTAATAATTGTTCCTCTAGGGCCAGGGATTTAGCTCAGTGGTTCCGCTGCCTGCCTCGCCAGCTCAAGGTCCCGAGTTCAATCCCTGGTACCAAAAAAAATAAATAAAATTTTAAAAATTACAAAAAAAAATTGTTTCTCTTTTACTAACTTGAAATGGCCCGAGAGGCCATCTCAGACCTATTTCTACCCACCTGGACAGCCTTGTGTGGCCCCTGCCCTTCCCCTTATGCCTGGCCCTGCTCTTCTGCGTTGCTCCCAGCACGTCCTTCCCTCCCGGCTTAGGCTCTTTATCTCTTTGCACATGTAATTCCTTCTGTCTGGACAGTTTCCCTGCAGTGCCCCACACCCTCACAGATCTGGAGAGTCTTTACTCATCCTTTTCATCTCATTTCAAATAGCATTTGTGCAAGTGTCCTTCTCTGCTACTCCTCCATTGCAACAGATCTCAGAATACTTACCGTGATTTATGATGAGAGAGCTGTAACCCCCTTGGGTCCCTAGTGCCTGGCACATCGAAGACACTCAGTACATATTTACCAAATGAGTTATAGCCTAATCATGCACTCAGTTTGGCTACATTTTTCTTTTTCTAAAATTTCTTTAGTGTTTATTTTAGATTTTCACCATCTAATTTGGTAGTTGTTGGTTATCTGACTGTTGAGCATTTGAAATGCAGTTTGTCCAGATTGAGACATGTTATGTATAAAATACACATCAGATTTAAGAGTTAGTATGCAAGATAGAATTTTAAATGTCTCATACCTTTCTAATCTAATACTGATTATATGCTGCAATAGTGTTTTAGGTATATTGGGCTAAATATATTATGAAAAAAAATTTTAATGTAACTTTGCCAGGCATGGTAGCACATGCCTATAATCCTAGCACTCAAGAGGCTGAGGCTGGAGGATCACCTTGAGTTCGAGCCCAGCCTGGACAACATAGTGAGAGTTCAAGGCCAGGTTGAACTACACCAAAAAAACAAAGAAGAAAGAAAAACAAAAAAATTAATTAAATTAAAATTAATTAAATAGACTGGGGGTATAGCTCAGTGGTAGAGTACTCACCTAGCATACATGAAGCCTGAGTTCAGTCTCCAGCATAGCAAATAAATAAATAAATAAATAAATAAATAAATAAATGCTAGAAAACATTGAATTGCATGTGTGGCTTCTGTTTATGTTGGACATCAATGTGCTGTGAATTTTAAAATCATTTTGTTGCATTTTTGAGATTTTCCATTGGCCTGAATTATATTTATAAATTCAGTATAGAGGAAGTTGTCTGTCTTTATAGAATTGAATCTTTTAGCCAGCATGTTACAGTTCTTCAGTCACATGTGGGTTTTTTTGTTGTTTTTTTTTTTGTTCCCGGGGATCAAACTCGGCTCCTTGCACTTGTGCAGCAGGCGGCGAAACCACTGAGCTAAATCCCCAACCAGTCATACATTTTTGTCCTTGTTAAGGTAACTGTATTTTTCTTCTAGTTGGCCCTGTTTATCCTTCCTAAGTATTTTATAGTTCCTGTTGCTTATTGGGGTTTTCTTTGTTTTTGGTACTGGGGATTGAACTTGGGACCTTGCGCTTGCAAGGCAGGTGCCGGAACCACTGAGCTAAATCCCCAGCCCACTTATTGTTGATTGTAACTTATTATCTTACCTACTATTTTTATGTGCAGTTATTTTTGAAACTCTCCATTTCTCAGATCTTGATTCTAGTAGTGCAAATGATTCATTTTCACTTGTGTTTTCTGTGTAAATTGTCATATTTGCATGTAACAGCAGTTTTGTCTCCTCTTTCCTTTTGATACTGGGGATGGAACTCGGGATCTTGCCCTTGTGAGACAGGCTGCGGAACCACTGAGCTAAATCCCTGGCCCTGTCTCCTCGTTTTTAATGGCTATGGGCTTTAATTTTCCCTTGTCTTATTGCTTGGGCTAGAAGTTCCAGAACAATGTTAAGTAAGAATAGTCATGGTGGAAAACTTTGTCTGTCTTCCAGCCCCTGATGGGAATGCCTTTACTAAAGTGTTTACCAGAATGTGCTCCAGGAACACTAATTCTCTGGAATATTAATGTGTGTACCTTGAGAGAAGAGTTCCACAGTTAAATGACTTCCAAACTGCTGAGGTAAAACAGAATGCTTGTCTGCAGGACTTTTCAGATGGGGTATTATGCTAATGTGTTTTTAATCCCTAGGAGGTAAAGATATTGGGGCTAGCTCTTGGGCTTGTGTTCTGTTGAATACTTTTTTTTGGAAATGCAGACATAATGTTTCCTTTTTAAGGATAATGGTTGGCTTGCAGTAGACTGTTTATTATATTAAGGAAGTATTGTTCTGTTTCTAACTTGAGAGTATTTTTCCCTTACTCTTAGGAGGACATTTAACTTCCTTAAATGCATTTTGGCATAGTATTGATTTGGTCATATGGGGTTTTCTTCCTTTGATTTTCTGATATTGCAGATTATATTTGTATATTTCCTAACATGTAGCCACCCTTACATTTGTGAAGCAGCTATTCTTGTTCATAATGTATTCCTTTAATATGTTATATTTCCTAGTAGTTCTGTTAGTACTTTAAAATCTACTTAGATGAAGTGTTCCTCTTTATGCTGTTTGTCATCTTCTGGTATCAAATTTGTGGCAGATGAACTGAGATTCTTTAAATGTTTCTACATGCGTCTAGAACAGTGTGAACGGCCTGAAGATCATTTGTGCCTTAGCACTTCTGTTTCTTTTTTATTTAGTTCTGCCAATTTATGTTATCCTAAAAATATGTCCATTTCATACAGATTTCAAATTGATTTCAATCATAAGTCTAGGACAAATAAAGACACAGTATTTCTCTTTTGACTAAAATGTCTAAACTCTAAATTGTGACATGATTTTTTAAATTCTGGTATGATACAGTCACCCTAAATGATTGGTCCTTTCCTGTGAGCCTGAGATTTATTGCACATTATTTTAACATTTTTAAGTTTTTCTCTGGTTATTTGCTATTTCTCTATTATTTTCTTGCTTTTGGCTTATTTTTTTGTTCCCTCTGTAATCTGAGTTTAGTCATTTCACTTATTTTTTAAGGATAAAAACTTTAAAGGCACTGACTTCCCCATTGCAGTTTTTGTTGTTGATGTTTTCTAAGACCCAAGAATTTCATTATGAAAAACTTCAAATAAGTCAGGAGTGGTGGCGTATAATCCCACAACTCGGAGGTTGAGGCAGGAGGTTCTGCCAAGAGGCATGCTCTCTCTCACAGTGGGCACTGGCAAGTTCAAGCCCTGCTTGGGCAACTTAATTTAGCAAGACCGTGTCTCAAAATACAAAAACTTAAACGGTCTGAGAATATAACTTAGTGTGAAATGGCTCTGGCTTTACTCCCCAGTACAAAAAAACAAAAAAATCAAAAGTTGAAAGATTTTTATACAATACTCAAATACTCACCATCTTGGCCCTCCCATTACTACTATTAATATTAGATAGTGGACCCTTGATGTACAAACTCATTTCGTTCCTGAGGGCTGGTTGTAACTCAAGTTAGTTGATTGCCTTCAAAGTCTCTCTCCTGTGTAATTTTAGGCCACACTTTCTTCTAGGCAGATCTAAGTGTCCTTAGAAAGACATTGGCCCAGGATTTCTTAACCCCACGCAGGAAGGGATGTTGTAATGTTCCTTCTATAATTCTTTGGTACTGGGATAGAACTCGGGTCCTTGTGCTTGAGCAGCAGGCGGCGAAACCACTGAGCTAAATCCCCAGCCCTTCTATAATTCTTTAAGGGTTAAATCTGTATCTGAGACCATCTGGAAGCACAAGCATCTTGCATTTGAGTCGTAACTCAAGACTTTGTTCTGAAGTTAAAACTAAAATTCCAGTCATAACCCAAGTTGTTCATATATCAGGCCAGTCATAACTCGAGGGTCCACTGTATCATGTTTGCTTTTTCGTGTATCTTATCTATCCGTCTGTTATTTGGAGATACTCTCAAGTAAGTTAAAGATAGATGTAAACTTCACTCTTGAGCCTTTCTTGCTACAGATTCTTATGTGATTTCTCATTTCCTAAGTACTTTTATTCAATTTTGATTTTTCTCTGAATACTTATTACGGAGGTGTCTAAATTTTATTGGTTGAGTTTTAAAAGCTAAAAAATACAGGTTAGATCCAGCTTCATTGTGATTTGGTCAGAGAATGGAGGCTGGGCTCCACTCACTTGGACAGTTTCGAGCAAGCCCTGGCTGCAGATTCCAGGGCAGAGGGAGCAGTGCTGCCTAGGTATTCCGGTGCTGTGAGCACGGGTGGACGGCAGTGCACTTTTGATGTGCCCGTCGCTCTTACTCTTCTTACTCCTGCTGCCTGAAAATAACTCTTCACTGGAAAGGACTGAGCATCTCTGTGTTGTATGAAGGTATGCAAGGCTGAAGGAAGAAGGGCAAATCAAGACACAATACCAAAAGAGGTTATCTCCATTCATTGTGTCCATTGTCACAGTATTCTTAAAAAAATACCAATTAGAAATGCACAAATAAGGCAGGACATCCATTAGATGAATTGAAGTTGTTTTTTTTTCTTTTTTGCACAATTCTCAAAAGTAGGTGAAACAGGGAAATATTTTTCCTGAAGGAATACCAGTGTCACAGTCACAGCTAAAATGGCCTTACTTGGGTACAGTGTTTTAATTTTGATCAAAATGAATGCTGGGCAGTAATGAAATGGGCTAATTGATTATTTGGTTATTTGGCTTTAGGTGAATTAACCGAAGCATGAAAACCTAAAAAATAGGAAGAGGAAGAATGTTCAGACAGACCTTAGGAGGTACGATAGCCAGTGTTATTGATATTGTGAGCTTGTGTTTATGCTGCTGTACTGAATGAGGAGTCAGTAGTGAATGATGAAAACTCTGTCTTTCCGCAGATTGCACTTCATGTCAGTAGAAATGGACAGCAGCAGTTTTATTCAGTTTGATGTGCCCGAATACAGCAGCACCGTTCTGAGCCAGCTAAATGAACTCCGCCTACAAGGGAAACTATGTGACATCATTGTCCACATTCAGGGTCAGCCATTCCGAGCCCACAAAGCAGTCCTTGCTGCCAGCTCCCCCTATTTCCGGGACCATTCAGCATTAAGTACCATGAGTGGCTTGTCGATATCAGTGATAAAAAATCCCAATGTGTTTGAACAGTTGCTTTCCTTTTGTTACACTGGAAGAATGTCCTTGCAGCTGAAGGATGTCGTCAGTTTTCTGACTGCAGCCAGCTTTCTTCAGATGCAGTGTGTCATTGACAAGTGCACGCAGATCCTAGAGAGTATCCACTCAAAAATCAGTGTCGGAGACGTCGACTCTGTCACTGTCGGTGCCGAAGAGAATCCCGAGAGCCGTAACGGAGTGAAAGAAGGCAGCTTCTTTGCCAACCCTGTTGAGATCTCCCCTCCATACTGCCCTCAGGTACGGCAGCCCACCGCAAGCAGTGATCTCCGGATGGAGACAACCCCCAGCAAAGCTTTGCGTGGGCGCTTACAGGAGGAGGGGCACTCAGATCGGGGGAGCAGTGGAAGCGTGTCTGAGTATGAGATTCAGATCGAGGGGGACCATGAGCAAGGGGACTTGTTGGTGAGGGAGAGCCAGATCACTGAGGTGAAAGTGAAAATGGAAAAGTCAGACCGGCCTAGCTGTTCAGACAGCTCCTCCCTGGGTGATGACGGGTACCACACTGAGATGGTTGATGGGGAACAAGTTGTGGCAGTGAATGTGGGCTCTTATGGCTCTGTGCTCCAGCATGCGTATTCCTATTCCCAAGCAGCCTCACAGCCAACCAGTGTATCGGAAGCTTTTGGAAGTTTGAGTAATTCCAGCCCATCCAGATCCATGCTGAGCTGTTTCCGAGGAGGGCGTGCACGCCAGAAGCGGGCTTTGTCTGTCCATCTCCACAGTGACCTGCAAGGTGTGGTGCAGGGGTCTGACAGCGAAGCCATGATGAACAACCCTGGGTATGAGAGCAGTCCCCGGGAGAGGAGTGCAAGAGGCCACTGGTACCCATACAATGAGAGGTTGATCTGTATTTACTGTGGGAAGTCTTTCAACCAGAAAGGAAGTCTCGACAGACACATGCGACTCCATATGGGAATCACCCCCTTTGTATGCAAGTTCTGTGGGAAGAAGTACACACGGAAGGACCAACTGGAGTACCACATCCGGGGCCACACTGATGATAAACCATTCCGCTGTGAGATCTGTGGGAAATGCTTTCCATTCCAAGGTACCCTCAACCAGCACCTCCGGAAAAACCACCCAGGTGTTGCTGAAGTCAGGAGTCGCATTGAGTCTCCCGAGAGAACAGATGTGTACATGGAACAGAAACTAGAAAATGATGCATCAGCCTCAGAGATGGCCCTCGATTCCCGGATGGAAATCCACACAGTGTCTGATGCTCCTGATTAAGATGGTAAAGAAGGCCACCCAAACAAAGCACATTAATCAATGCATATTTGTGATTTGCTTTGTTGTAATCTTTGGTTTTCCCAGCCATCTGGAAATCTCTTGGTCTCTTGGCAGTTTTTCTGAAGTTTCTGGATGGAACACTTCATTGTGTTTATCCTACCCCTCCGCCCTCTCTCCCCCAAGGAGCTCAAAGCATGAAGGGCAACGTATCCAGGGAAAACACAGGCTGACAGTATTCCTCTTTGGCTGAACTCTGAATCCCAAATCTGCCAGTGATTTAGCTATGCCAACTGGTTGACCCTATACTCTTCTGCCAAGAGGCATGCTCTCTCTCACGGCAGGCACTGGCATCAGTGCATGCCCGCAGAGGGAGACTGGGATGCCGTCAGCTGATACAAATGGGTAACCTTTTCTAATTTAAAGTTACTTTTAGGGGGTAGTTAGACAATTTATATATATATATATAATAAAACAATTATTATATATATAGTATATATACATTCTCAAATTTGAGTTTATTCTGGTTGAGGTGAATGTAAGAGGAATATATAATTTAATACAATGTGAACAGAGCTTTTAACTCTGTCTTATCCCTTCCTAATATGTTAGTTTTACCTCTTTGTTTCCCTTACAGAAGAATGTTAGCAGGTTTTCATATATATTAATCATTGTGTCCAAAAGCAAGCAAAGCAAATCACAGTGTTCATAGCTCTGCTTCATAACAAATACATAAGCCAAATGCCATAAAATTTCTTTAACTCTAGTTGGAAACCGTTTGGAATTTTTGTTCGTTGTCTGGCAGGTAAGCTGGACAACCTGTGGTGCTGACCTTTTTACATAATGTAGTGTTACATTAGCCAACCCCAAAGGAGCAGTGGTTTTCAAGGTTTTTACCGGCCTACAGATCTACCTTCATTCCGTACTGTAGAAACATATATACCAGGTAACTAAATCAAATCACTCTCTACCATGAGTTAGTACTCGCACTAAAGGAAAGGGATTTGTAGTTCTGGCTACAAAATTCTCCAAGCAGTGTTGTGGTTTCTTTTTTTTTTCCCTTTCTTTCTTTCTCTTTCCAAACAGCCAGTTCAGGTGCACAGCAACTTTTTTCTACACGCAGTTCCCAAGGAAACTGCAGAACTTGGAATTTGTACTTTTGTAAAGCTATACTCCATGGGAATTGCAAGCAATATATCTATCTTAGTATTGTGTGTGCTAATGAGAGCCTCAGTGCTCCCCCACTCTCAGTGTTTCCTGCTTAAAGAAACCAACAGTTAAAAGCCCTCTAAGATACTCTGTGTGTGTGTGTGTGTGTGTGTGTGTGTCTCACCATATTTTTGGTCACGTGGTGCTATTTTTATGTTAAGTATCTTCTAGGTCAGTACAGTTGTAGACAATGTGAAATCTAACAGTAATAGTGAATTGCAGTTGTTTTCCTCTCTTGAGTTCATAGCTTGAAAGAGACCTCAAAAGCATGTGCCAGCAAACACACTCCTGTATGAAAACTTGCCCTAGTCCTATTTGAATAATGCTTTATTAGTGCTTTAGGAGAGTCTTCAGTGCACTGTTGGGTTTGCATATACGAACAGGCTTTACAGGATCACTTTGGTACTGTAGGCTCTGGCAGTTCTGGAAACAGTTGGAGCGCCTGTTGCAGGCCGCCTATGGATGTCAGTGCTCCAGGCTCTGCTGAGAACAGGAGCTCTGAGACCCACATCCAGCACATCTCCATGAGAGAACAGTGCAGCCACTTGAAAGAAAGAAGTGAAAGGCCAGGCTTAGACACTAGGAGTTAGAAATACAGAAATAGGCATTTGCTGGTTTTCCATGCTTTTTTGGCTCTTACGTTACCAAGAATGGTTGGTTTGGAAGATATTTTTGTGTTGTTTTTTGTTTTTTTGAGAAAAAAAGAATCATTCAAGCCCTTCATGTGTAACAGCCCCAGTGGTGGCTGTACAGTAGCACCTCTTTAGCACACAGGATCTGTTCACGTGTGAACTGCTGTGCTACACATCAGTGTTAATTCCACATAGATTACACTCTAATCCTGCTGCTCCTGAGGAGCAGCTCTTGTTAAATCGGGTATATATTATGCCTTTTCCTCCTCAAACTGCCTAAGTGGGGGTTTGTTCTCTCCCTGAAGCACTTGTTCAACTCCTGATAAACCCGCGTGCCTCAAGGGGAGGCTGGACCCCAAGTGTTTACCCACTTAAATATGTTCTGGGCTTTCAGGTAAATGTTTGTGATTTTTTTTTTCCCTTACACAAATAAGTTTGATTTTTTAAAAAAAGAATTAATTGCAAAAAATTTGTGTTGTGATACAAATGAAGTCTGTGACAAGAAAGGTCCAAACCAAAGGACATGAGAGGTCAAGCTCAGGGAAGGAACGTCCTTTTCACTCGGGCTTGGGGCCTTCTGTGAGGCCATGAGAGCTTCCCGCGCTGTGTGCAGCAAGCGAGGAGGGAAGAGCACTTGAGTCAAGCACCTCCACTGTCCTGGTTCTTGTCACTGTGTCCGTCTGAATCTTAGTTCTTGTATTTGTAAACTTGTTTATCTGGTTTGAGTTTACCAAAGAGTGACTTATCCAAAATTGTCGTTGACAAAAATATACATTGCTTTGATTGTACAGTTCAGGTTCAAACATTGTAATGGGACTGTTAAGGGGCAGAAAATTGATTGAGTTTCTCTCTAGTAATCATGATTCCGCATCTTGCAAGTTCCACTTGCTCCCATTCGTGTTGCTAACACTTTACCCTTTCCACTGCTAGCAGTGTTAAGAATGAATTCTCAAGCCATAACACAGTACTGTAAGTTCCGCAGGGCTTCGAGGGAGGCAGTGTGTAGGCCAGCACAGAGCTGTGTGGCGTCTCAAAGCGTTGGCACTGTCACGCCTCCAGGGGGCGTGACTGGTGAGGTCACTCCATTCAGATGGGCAGCAGCAGTTTATTGTGCCTTGCCATATCAGGATGTGCCAGGAGGATTTACCTGACTGCAGAACAGAAACATTCCCTCCCTGAAGTTCACGTCACGTCTTTGCAGACAAAGTACGCTGTGTAACTCCTTAGAGCAACTCTTTTTGGAAAGCAAAGTCCCTATTTCTGTACAGTTTTAGGTTAGGTGTTTCATTTATAACAAATGCAGAAATCAGTTAAGATAAAGTGATATGTGAAGAAAACCTTTACAGTAAAATATATCCTGAATTCATACAGGCTTGTTCATAATTGAGTCTCTTCTTGAGCTACCTTTTCGATAGTAGACAATGTGAAGACAGTGACAGCGTCCTTTTCTATCCATGTTTAACCTGTTATTACAAACTGTGAAGACAATTTTATACTTTTACTAATGTTTGTGGTTCCAAACAATTATTTTCATTCTAATCAGTTCTCTGCCCTCTCATTTCTACTAAAGCTGTACATACCTTTAGAAATTATATTTGTAAATACAGTATATGAAGACAAGTTAATTTTTTGGTCAGTGGAAAGCCTCCCAACCAATTGGCTCTGCCTTGGCAGTTGTTTTGTTTTTGTTTTGTTTTTGTTTTCTTTTTTAAACAGCAGAAAGGATACTGTCAGTTCACTGTTAAGCAGAATATACTGTAGAACTAAAATGATAATTTTTAAATCTTCCAGAGCATAAGTATATGTCTCTTCTAATGATAGCAATTATAACCAACTCTGTTTTTCCCTTAGCCCAGACCATAGGCCTGCGTACTTTTATGTGTGGTTTTATTTTTAATTTTGTTTTTACGGCCTAGACTCTAGGAAGAATCTGCAGGAACACAACAAGGGCTAGGGAAATCATCTATGTGAATGAGCTTTACTTTAAAGAGATCAATTTTTTAAAACAACTTTTCTATTTGTTACTGTGATTTTTGTTGTTGTTGTTGTCATTGTCGTTGTTATTGTTAAATTCTATAATGGTTTCCTGTGAAGCCTCCACTGAAAGGGACTCAAATATGCAACACCTAAACTATTTTCCAAGGGCGCATGCCCCTTGAATGGTGCTTCTAGACTGGTCAGGGTTATTTATTAAATTTTATATATGAAAGTATTGGGGAATTATGTAAATTCTTTATATGAAACTATCTAGTTCATAAATCATAGATTTCATATTACTCAGTGCAACTGAACTGAAGGTTCAGAAAAGTCATTCACATTGTTCCACATTTGTAACGGTGTCACACGTCACGTCTTTTTCAGTAAGTACCAGAGTGTTCCCACTGTTTCTGCCCAGTGCTTGACTTCTTGGCCCAGAAGAGAACCTGTTTTCTCCAGTTCTCTCCCTGGGTCTGGCACCAACGGGGCTATTGTTCTTGATCAAGTCCTGCAGTCGGCCTTGCTTGGTGCTCCCTGGAGCAGATTCAGTAAACAGACCTCTTGCTGCCCCTCTGACAAGTATGCTGTGAATTCAACCTTTGGACTTGCGGCCCAAGCCTCTGGCTGCTGCCCTGACTAGAGTAAGAGGTAAACTTACCTGGTTTGTTTGAGAATGACCATTTTCCTAATGTGAAAACCATCTCTCTCACCACTTTTATTAGTAGGGCTAATGTTGTTTTCCGTTATAAATGGTTGAGCAATTTGAATGACTTAACACAGTGTCATTATCTTGCAATATAAACTGGTAACCTCACAACTCCACACTTCATCACCATATGAAGTAAATGAAGCTAGCTAAGCGGATGCTGTATCAACTAGTAACTTGCCATAAGGATTATTTTATAGCATGGATTTAAGACTATTTATTCAAATGATATTTTACTCTCGTATTCATTTTGTTTTAGATTTGTGACATGAATATTTCAGTGCTGCTTAATTTTGTTCTGAATTCTTGTTTCTTGCTTGTAAATGGCTTTTTTATGGTATAAAGTCAATGGAAATTGCTGTTTGTAAATAAAAATGCTGCTAGAGCAACTGCTGTGGTCGCCTTCTGTCTTCACCCTCATTGGCTTCATGGGTTTCCCTAGCTCTGACAAACATCTGCTGTGTCATAGTTTCTCTAACTGTTTTTAAAGAGCTAGGATTTCATAAGGACCTCTTGTGCCCCTGTTGTGCTGAGAAGAAGAGAAAGAAGCAGGTGTTTCTTTTATTTTTGGTACTGGGGATCGAACTCAGGACCTTGCACTTTCGAGGCAGGGGTGGGAAGCAGGTATGTTTCTGATCTTACTCTTCTGTGGCAAGAGCAGTTCATCAAGGGGCTGCAGTCTGCTCTTAGGCTGCACCAGAATGAATCATGGTGAGTCCTCTCCCACCTACCTGCAAAAGTACCCCTGTGGCTCCCTCCGGTGTGCCTTGCCCAGACCTGCCATGGAGCTTGTGAGCTGCACAGGCTGTTTTTTCTGTCTCCAGTCTCTTCTCACTTAGCTAGTTAACTCTTCCTTCTCCAGGTACCAGTTCTGGAGCCCTTCTTGCCTCCAGCAGCTCTTCCAGGTCAGGCCCCTTGGTGGCAGACTTTTGCTGAGCTGTGCTCCTGCCCTCAAGAGCACTTATTTCTGTTTGTAATTGGATATTCGTTAATGGGGTTATTCATTTAATGTACTGCACCCAGCAGCCCAGCAGCCCCTGCTGCAAGAGCCCTAAACTCACTCTTGGGCATCCTTAGCACAGGCCCTGGCACCATAGCAGCTGCTTGTCGAGTGTGTGTCAGGTGACTGAGTAAATGCATGACTTCTGGAGGGTCGAGCAGGGCATTGGGGCTGGGAAGCGGGTGGGGATTCGGCCTGGTTCCTGAGGTGCTGCTGGCTGATTTGCTCCTTACTTGTGAGCAGGGATACTGTGAAGCAAATTTTCTGCCTTCTCTCCAGAGCCCCTGTATGGCCAGGTGACAGATAGTGTGATGTGGAAGGTCCATGCAGGAACCAGCTTCATCTATTAGCTGCATCCCAGGATACTGAGGAAGAAACACAGGGTGATTTAAGTACACTGACTTGTCTGGCTTCTAGCCCTGCCTTTACCCGTCCTTGACCTGAGTTATACAACCTCTGCAGCCCAGTTTGACTCGTGGCTCAGGTGGGTTCTGAGGCAGTGATTTCTGATAGATCTACTTGTTTCATTGGGCTGGAACAGTAACCCAACTTCAGGAGTCAGGGGCTTGCCTCTCTACTGCAGGGCTAAAGGAATATCCCAGGGGGATGAGGCCCTGGAGCTGGGGCACCAGGTGAACCAGATACACCAAGTCGGAGCAGATGTGTAGACACTGCATTGCTGCATGGCTGGCAGCTGCTGTTGGCTTTTTAATTTGTCCTGAAGTGTAATAGGTCTTCACCTTAATTTCATCCAGTCGTAATTCATACAATTGTTGGCCAAACTTATGTGGCTTCAGGGATATTTAAGGCGCCCCTTCTGATATCAGGATGGCCCTTATCCTTAACTGCCTGCTCGATTTTGTCTGTTTCCTGAACCATTTCCTTGAAAGCTGCTCAACCCCAGTGACAAGTACCTGAACATTTCACCTGAAGTCTGCCTTTGGGCTTTCACAGCAGCCTCGCTTGCACACCTTTTGCCAGCCGTTAGGGCTCAACACAGCAGAGCACAAGTGGCAGGAAAAGGCTACTGTGAAGAAAACACGTTAGGAAGAACAGCAACTTGGGACATGTGTGGAACCCACAGGGCATTGCTGTGCAGTGTGTGGGGAAGGTGGACAGTAGAGCTTGCTCTTCTGCTGAGAGCACACTGTTGCTCTAAATGGTGGGGTGTACATACACTGCAGACAGCCAGGGGATAGCCTGCCAGAGCCCGCCCTCCTCTGCACTCTGAGAGGGTAAATGGGTTCCCAGACCCTTGTCCCTGAAACAGGGTAGGGGGCAGTCCTTTTGTTGTGCCTGTCCCTGAAGGGAGCTTGTGTCTTACCAGAGCAGAGCCTGGGAAAGCTACACTCCCCTTGGGAGTGGCTGGTGGGCATGGGCCTTTGGCTGTGGAGGCAGTGAGGCCCTGTACCCAAAGCAGTCCCTTCTCCCTGTGGGCTCACCTTTGGTGCTCTAAACTGCTCTGGGCACTCTCCTTTTTTGCTTTTTCTTCTTTTGTTTGTTTTTTGACAGGGTCTCACTATGCACCCAAGTTCAGGCTGGCCTGGAACTCAAGGTAATCCTGCCTCAGCCTCCTGAGTGCTGGGATTGCAGGTATGTGCCACTACACCCAGCTCTTCTTTTTGTCCTAACCCAAGCTTTGCTCCTGAGAGGCTTCCCTGGCTCCCATAGGCCCCCTTGTGACCAGGTGACTGCAGGGCCCAAGCCTCTGAGCCTCAGGTGCAGGACGTGCCCGTGTGTGTGTGTGTGTGTGTGTGTGTGTTTAAATGGACAAATGACAAGTCATTTTGAGTTCTATCCCCTTCCCCACAGTGCAGGAACTTTCATAATGGTGGAAAAGGACCTCACAGCAAAGTGTGCCAGTTCTAGGACTCCCACAATAGCCTGTCCAGCCAACATCTCCAGTTTCTGCTCACGGACACTGCTGTCTCCTAAGGGACTGTGCACATTCGACAGCTATCTATGATAGAAAGTCCAACCTTACCCTGAGTTCCAAATCTGTCTCCTGGGGCCTGGACCCTTGGTCTGTTCTCCATATGGCCACACTGTTTATTCTGTGACAGCATGCTCAGTCGAGCCCTGTTGGGCTGCTGTAGGCCGTGTGTAACTGCACCATTGTCTTCTCTAGAGTCTAGGCCATTGGGACGTATTTTTCCATCAGGGTTTTTGTTTGTTTTTGTTTTTTTTTTACCGGGGATTGAACTCAGGTCCTTGTGCTTGCGCAGCAGGCAACGAAACCACTGAGCTAAATCCCCGGCCCTCCATCAGGGTTTTAATCAGTATGACTGTGGGACTTGTCCCTCCCGCCCCCCAGTACCAGGGATCGAACTCAGGACCTTGCGCTTGCAAGGCAGGCACAGCACCACTGAGCTAAATCCCCAGCCCATGGGACTTGTTTCTGGCAGAACTTTGTTGGAACTGAAGGGGAGAACCCGTAACTTGGAGGAACACTTCTTTGGCAAGCACATTACTTTTGTATGACTTATTTTAACTAGCCCGGATGACCGATATCATGTGTGGATGGCCACATTATGTGTGATCTATTCATTACACATCTGGGTTCCTGGAGCTATCTTCAGAGGGTTTTCTAAATGACTTTTTTTCTTTTGGGGTTAAAATTTTTTTAATTAATTAATTTGAGGCAAGGCCTTGCTGTGTAGCCCGGGCTGGCCTCAGACACACACTCCTCCTGCTGGGATTACAGGTGTGCACCACCATCTAAATGATATTTTCTTTCCTTCTCAGCCTCTTCATTTTCCTCCCTTCTAAAAGTATTAATGTGAAATTTGGAAGGGAGCCATCGCCTTGACTTTGGGGGACCTGGGCTTTGAGCCTGGACTGTAGCATCTGACTCCCGAGGCCTCACTAGATCTCTTCAGAGCTTGCTCCGCTCTGATGGCTGGTTTTGCTCTCAGGGTGTCCTGGCTTCCCCAGGGAACTGGGCCTCTGGCACCGTTGCAGCTGGCAAAGGGCTTCCTACCTTGCTGTGTGTCTGCACAGCAAAGGCCTGTGAGCCTGCTGCGGTTTCATCCACTTTCTCTTCCCACACTTCTCCATGCCTTGACCTCTCTCATTCCTTCTTGCCTGCTGCACCCTGCCCTGGTTGGTGGTGAAATGGGAATGCTATTAGATTTCACTAACTGAACTACCAGTTCCCTTCTTTCCCTCCACTGTAGTCCCCCCAGCCCCAGAACGGGCCTCCTGCCACCAGGCTCTGTTGAAAGGCCTCATTTCCGACTGTGGTCAGGGGTGACCAGCTGCAAGCCCTGTGAGATTAGAGACTTCTACCCAGAAGGTAAGCCCTGTGCCTTTTTGTCTACAGTTGTACCCAAGTCATTTCCTAATAAAGTATCATGTACCATCCAGATGTCTTTGGCCTGAATGGAAAGGCTTGGGTGGTCGCCTTGCTGGAGCCTGTGTGTGGAGAGGTAAGGCACAGAGAGCTTCAGTCATTGCTTCAAGAGGGCTGGTGAGAGAGTCCAGAGGCTGGCAACCCTGAGAACTCTCAAAGGATCTAGGATCAGGGTATTCTTACCTAGGACTGGCCCTGGTCCCTCAAATGGACACATTCTCAGGTCCTGGCGGGAAGAACTCAGGTGGAGCCAATGAAGACTGCCTGTAAGTGGAAGCTGAGAAAATGACCTGGGACCAGCTTCAAGATCCTTTGAGAACCTGTATCCTGCTAGAGGGAGGAGTGGGCAGAAGAGACCTAGTCTGAGTGAGGAGGCCCAGCTAGGTAAAGAAGGGGCAGGATCATGAAACAAATTTCTGCTGAATGAAATAGTTAATTATAGAAAAAACATGAAACAACAAACTAGTTAAAAAGGTGAAGACTTATCTGTGTTTGCAGTGGAGAAGATTCTATTTTTTTGGTACCGGGGATCGAACTCAGGTCCTTGCACTTCCGAGGCAGGCGGCAGAACCACTGAGCTAAATCCCTGGCCTGAGAAGATAGATTTTTTTTTTTTTGGTACCAAGGATCGAATTCAGGTACTTGCACCTGCCCAGCAGGCGGCGAAACCACTGAGCTAAATCCCTGGCCTGAGAAGATAGATTTTTTTTTTTTTGGTACCAAGGATCGAATTCAGGTACTTGCACCTGCCCAGCAGGCGGCGAAACCACTGAGCTAAATCCCTGGCCCGAGAAGATATTTTTGATGAGACAAAAAAAATTCCAAACAGAAAAATAGATTTGACTGTATACAACATATTCACTAAAGGCAAAATGATAAAAGCAGAAAACTACAAGTGTAGGGAAAAAGCCACTTTGCAACATATAGAACAAGAGCTTTAAAATTAATAAAAGATGAATCCTCCAATTTAAAAATGGAAAAGAATAGTACACAGAACAAATAAGGCTAATAAATACATAGTCAAGACATTTTACTTC